GCGGAGGAGGGTGGGGAGCGGCTGAAGGAGAGGAGGGGCGAGTCCTGCAGCTTCAGGGACGACACCTCCAGCTTCTCCTGGCGCCGCCACTTGGCCCGTCGGTTTTGGAACCACACCTGCCAGGGAAGCACAGAGGCTGTCGGGCTGCGGTGGAGGCTGGGGCTGTGTCCAGGTCCCTGCGCCAGGGCATCCCAGCCAGCTCCACTCCCCCCTAGAAGTATAACCCGGGCCACACTATTCCCAACTGCAAAAGGAGCGCAGATTTCCTTCTTTCACTCCCTCGGCTACCCTCCTCAGCCTTTCCACCCACCCCGTTTCTTTTCTTATCCATCTCGTTTTTTTTTCTTTCTCCCTTTTGTTTGTTCCCTCCACAGTCTTTTTGGCCCATCCTCTCCTCAGAGACATTCCCACCCTTTCCCCTATTTCTCTCACCCTTGGCTGCTGTTATGTTTAAACTCCTGGCAGGAGCGAGTGCGTAAGAAAAACGAATTTAGCTCTGCAATCAGGGACCACAGGACCTTGAACAAGCGACCATCTTGTTGGCAGCCTCTCCTGACACTTCAGCCTTTGATTCCTTTCTCTGTGGTACAGGTGTCAGTTGCTGTATTTTGGTCTCCGATTATTACTTACCCTCTTTATCATAGACATAAGTCTAAATACTGGCAACATCAGGTGTTAAAATACAGCTATTTCCAGGGACCATTGGTTATAATAGCTAGATAGAAACACATGGGTTTATTTTACCACGTGCGTATTTCAATTGCTGCTTTATTCAGGTGTTCATCTTATTTAACTGACATCTGTTTAGTATTAATGATGTTGCCTACAAGTTACTTTCAAAGATTACTATCCTTTGTATTATTATATTTATTTTTACTTTATGGAGTTAGTTTTGACATTATTCTCAGATGTTAGCTCAATGAGGACACAAGGAGATTTTCTTCTTCATATAGAGTCCTTGCCAAGACTACTGGTGTCTTCTACTGGGTCTTCCACTACTGATTTGATAAAAGGACCAGAAAGGGCATAAGAAATGTTTCATCACCAAGTTCCACTCTTACGAACAGAATTGAAGGAATTGGCTTAGGTTAGGTGAAAGTATTTTGGCAAATCTGGTGGCTTCCATGTTACATTTATGAAGGAATTGAGGGAGGGATAGTTGCAATCCCAGAAGGAAGAAATTAGTTTTGTGTCAGTAAGAGAAGTGGGGGCAATCCCGTAAGATAAGTAAGAAAATAGTAACTCAGCACCTAAGCAGATCAACACAAGTGTGTGAGGCTCTGACTTGGGAGAAAAAGAGAACAAAAAGTAAATATTCCTGCCCCCTTCCCACAAAAAGTTTATCTGTGGAGTTAATGCCCCAAGCCACCAGCAGAGATTTAGGTATTTGCTGAGGGTAGAAAAGAAAGAAGACTTGGGTGAGGATTCCTGTCCTTCGGGCTTCCCTGCCTTTTCCGCTCCATCTCTAGCACCCTGAACTTTAGCCCTCAGGGCCCGTATCCTAGGTCTCAGCTGAAAGCTGGAGGAGATTGGCTGCTGTGTCATTGTCTTGCTGTTCTCACGGCAGACACTCCACCTCGTTGCCCCACAGCATGATGTTCATGTGTTAAGACAGCTGGCCCCATGGTCATGGAGCAGTCACAGGCACCATTTTCAAGAATTTCACAATTTAGAGAAGAAGCCAAACCCCTGAACAAACAAAGAGGGGTGACGGAAGGTGGGCCTAGGTAGAAAGGGATCCTGCCCCCTTTAGGGCCAGGCAAGTCTTTGCCTCACCTCTTTCTTCATCTTTTTCTTGTATATGACCCTCATCCTGCCCTTCCTCCTTTCCCAGGAAGCAGGTGCTAAAGTCTCCCCTACTTCAATGAAATCATTGTAGCATTACTGTTCTGAATTTGCAGAAATTAACTGTTCATTCTGGGTTAATCCCGAGTCAAACCAGGGAACTATTTTTTAAAACCATGACTTTTACTCGTTATTTTCAACCCTCCATCTAAGCAGAAGAGATAAAAGACAAGAGCTTGCCCTATTTTACTTTTGAGTTACAACTAAATGTGCCCGAGCACCTGAGTACCCTTACTTCCTGGAAACCTAATTTATTAGAAATACAAAAAAATCCCATTTTTGTTCCACTGCCTTTCAGATGCACTGAAATTTGCTCCCAGTGTCTCCCTTTCAGTCCCCTGTAAAACTTTCCCAATTTGGAAATCCTCCCAGATTTTTCACAGATGACTAGCAAATATTTAAGGCTTTCAAATATTTTAATGATCAGGGATTAAAGATAATTCAGCTTTAATTAAAGTGAAAACCCCTTTACAATAAAGAGAAAAGGCCTCTGCACCATGAAATTTGGTTGGATGGGAACCAAGGAAGGAAAAGTCAATTTCTTAAATAAATCCATGAAGTCTCAACTTCGAGGGGCCAAGCCCCTGGCCTTAGGTCGGGCTTTCGTTTTCAGTACTGTGTGTAGAGCTAGTGATGAGGGTGGCTTCTGGGTCCCCAATCCAGTGACCCTCCAGCCGCTGCCTACTTGTCCTTTTGGTTCAGCACACCCTTCCCCGTCCTGGCTGCATCTAATGACCTGTCAGCCTCTCCAACAGGCAACTCATTCTTATTCCTCTCTTTTAGTTCAGGAGAGGGGGACCTTCAAAGAGGAGATCAACTATAACCTCGACCAGACTCTCCGAAGCATGGTGAGTGGAAAAAAAGTCTGCTGCTCCACGGGCGGGGGGCGGGGGGAATCTGTGACGCTTCTTTGGGGCTATGCTTGTGTCAAACCCAGAAGTAAACTCAAGGATGCCCACAAATTCAGAGGAGCGCTGATTGCATTTAGGCCTCAGGCACTCTCAAATTCCCTTCCCTCCATCTGGGCACTTTACCTGCACCCGGACCTCGGGTAGGTTGACTTTGCCGGCCAGCTCCTCTCGGCTGTACACGTCGGGGTAGTGGGACTTCTCAAAGGCGCGCTCCAACTCGTGCAGCTGGTACGTGGTGAAAGTCGTGCGGTTTCTCCGGTGCTTCTTCTTAGGCTGCTGATCCTCCGATGGCTTAGCGTCTCCCGCAGCTGGCCCGGGGATCCCTGAGCTCGGATGTGCCTCTCCGGGCTCCTTGGGGCAATAGGGGCGAGAGGCTGGGGCGACGAGGCCCGACGGGGTCAGAGATACTGGGCCTATTCTGTCACCCTATAGTCCCTGGCCAGCCCCCCTGCGGCTAAGAGTTGGCCTCTGGAGGTCAGGGGTGGAAGCTGCAGGTGCTCCCAAGCTCGCTCTGAACGCAGGTTGGAAGCTTCCGCCGTAGACTGTGTCCCCAAACCCTTTGCCCAGCTGCCTTAATAAAAGTTAAGAAAGGGAGCTCTCCTCTTACAGGGCACCCCAGGGCCTCGCAGCAGCGGGAAACGCTCACTCGAGCACTCACCTTCGTACTCCGGGACGGGCGCTGGGGCTGGCGGGGGCGAGGGCTCCTCGCCTCCCCCGGAGGCCTTGGGACAGGCAGGCTGCGCGCTCAGCTTTCTCTCTCGCTCCTTTGCCTTGGAGCCCCTCTCCGCCGCCGGGAATGTGCCCAAGATCCCGTCGTCCTTCGTAAACCCCAGGATGGCCTCGATGCTGTGCAGCCTCGAGGTGCTCCCAGTTGGGCTGCGGAGCAAGTGGCCAGGGAGCGAGAAGCTCCCTTCGGCCGTGGCAGGCGCGCAGCCCGGCAGGTGCATGGGGAACGCCAGGAGGTGGGCGGGCGCTTTGGAGCTAGAAATGTACGTCAAGGTAGTAGGACTTCTACAACACGTGCAACCGGACGGGTTCCACCCAAGGTCAAGCTCCGTGGGCAACCCCACCAGGCTGCGCGCTGGAAGTGGGCGAGCGCTTGGCCCAAGCCCCTTGGTCCCGGCAGGAGGTGTCAGTTCGGCCGAGGAGTTGAGGCTCCGGGAGCCAAAGGCTTGGAGCCCTCCGGTACAGGGATCTTCCTCTCTCACCCGGACCCATCCCCTTTTCTAGGCTCCTCCCCACCCCGAGGGGCGGGTCCTTCTCCCTCCCAGCCTCGGGGTCGTTGTCCAGGCTGGCTCTCGGGACATCCTACTTGCCACCTCTTGATCCCTTTTAAATCCTACACTCTCGGGACAAGCCGTGGGATGTTTGGCCCTGGGTCTCTAATCGGCAGGCCTGAATTCCTCCTCCCGCCCCCAGGTCCTGCCTCAGTGGGACCGACATCCTTAGGTCATCCTTGCTCTCCCTCGGGCTCACTTTTCCCCTCCTGCTCACCTCTTGGCTCACTTGGAAGCTGGAGACCTAGCCGAGTCTGTCCAGCTACTTCCCAGCTTCTCACTAGAAAGTCAGTCCACTCTCCTTCCGGTTTGGATTTCCTCCTCTCTTTCCTTCTTTTCCATCCCCACGGGCACTCCTCTCTGGTCTCCGTGGCCGAAGTCCTCAACATCGGGTTTCTTTTGTCTGTCTAAATCTGTTTTCATTTCTCCTTGTACCCTCAGAGTTGAGCGCAGGCAGCTTCCTTCAGTCCAGACCGACCCCCAGGAGGCGGAGGGGCCATCTGTGCCTTCAGGTCTAAGTGACCTCAAAGTGCTGGGAGTCTAACACGCGCCGGGGCTCAGGCCCTGCGTCCTGCGGTCTGTCCTACTGAGGGTCTTTTACAGGTGGGGAAAACGTCTCCTACTGCCTCCCCAAATACTTCCCCAGGCCAAGGAGATGACCCAAAACTGACGGAAAGACCTTTGCTGGGCAAGAGGCCTCCCAATTCCCCCGAGGGTTAAAGCGTAATCCGCTTGCGTGCCCCGCCCCCCAAGAGGGCCCCTTGAAGCTTCCTTGACCCAGAGGACTCAAAAGCTGAGTAGAAAGATGATTTGCGACGGCAAGCGGGTTTTTCACATCCCATGGTGTTAAATGGACCATGGTGCTGTGACCACTGCACCCCTCAAATCTGAGACCAAGATCTGAAGAGAGCAACGGGCCTCCTGTGAACTAAATGTGAATTAAAACGCTTTCCATGAGAAGCCTGAGGATGTGGAGAACCATAGTCCCAAATTCTTCTTTTGGTAGGCGCTCCAATGGATCTCCTTTGAAGTGGCCTCAAGAATCCCTACTTTTCATTTCTTCCTGCCTACATCCAGTCTAGGGTTACCCCATCCCTTCTGTTTGCCCAGCATGGTCCTGGGAGAGGTCTTGCACAGCGCCCTAAAAAGGAAAGAACATTGCTGGCCTCGAGGAGATGACTAGTCTGAGAGACAAGACAAAGGAATAAACAAGGGAAAACACACCTCCTCGGATACGGGGGCACGAGGGGGAGTTCATTACACTAATAGCTCTTTTTAAAGAAAATTATTACGAGGTAAACTAAAATTGCAAACATGAGTGCATAGTGGATTGAAATTGAGTTACTCATATCAAAACAACTTGAAGAAAAAACTAAGCTAATGCAAATGAATCACACTGTACAGTTTTCAGAAAGCTTTACAATCTTCCTATCATCTATCTGATCCTCATAGCTTTGTGAGGTGAGCACAGATCTATTGGTTTCCATTTGCTGGAAGTGAAGGAGTCGGGACCAGAACTCAGACCAGCTGCGTCCTTGTCTAGTGTTTCTGGCTGCAGCTGAGTAGTAATTGCTACTGTGGAGTGCGATGCTTTTGAAAAGAATCAGAGCACATCTTAGCCTGCAGTCTCTCAGTAGTCCTTTGCTGAGGGGCCCCCTGCATTCTCCATCTAAGAGGTGAGGCAGTGCAGCTCTCCCATGAGGAGTCCCCAGAGAGTGGCCTGTGGTCCGGGGAAACATACAAGCCCTTACAAGGCTCAGATGAAACCTGCCTTTAGGAGCTGTTCAGGGTGCTGTCCAGGGCACCGACCCTGCAAATGGCCTGGGGGCACCCCACGAAGGCTTTAGTGCCAGTTACATGGACCAGGTGGCTTGAAGGGCTAAGGTAAGCAGAGGCAGCTGGAGGGATAATTAATTGGTATTTGTTGTTTCCTCTTTGAGAATGATTTTTATGTAAACTTCCCCAATATTAAATTGATCTCTGTAATCATCGCTAAAAGATTAGCAGCATTTTCTTAAGCTCTTGCTCACACGCTGCTGAGGAGTTTATGGTCTTGTTTTCCAAAGTTAATTCCCTCTGGAACTGCCTACCTCCCTCCCTAATAGGTCCAGGTGAGGTGAACTTTTATTTACTGTTTATTTCAGGGTCTCTGGAGAAAAGCAGAAAAGACTTCAACAGCCACTATCGAGGGCCAGCCAAGCAGAGGGGAACGGGGGAAGCTTTTGTGCAAGACATAAAGAACCAGTCAAAACCTTTGTGGGCATGGTGGAGGGTACTCCAAGCAATCAGCCAGGGGTTATTGTTAGGGGCTAATCTACATGTGCATTTCCCAAGAACTCGATTAGGGAAGATGAATGGACTGGGCCATGTCCCTAACTCTTCTAGCTCCAATCCGTATTTTTCCAGCAGTTACAGCCAGTTCATAATCAGCCCTGATTCTGCAAAGTAGGGAACCTGGCTTCTGAACTCTACCTCTGTTTAATTCATTAATTCATTAGATGGATCAAAGAAAACTCCCTCCTCCTACCCCCCGCTTCTACAGATAAAGCTCCATTAAACTTGGCATAGTTAGAGACACACATTTCTAGAAGGGCAGAGGTTCTAAAAAGTGGTTCTGTTATCTCAGATGTATGCAGGATGTCCAATTTCTGGAAGTATTCTAGATGTACTGTTTCTCCCACCACTCTCTTAGGAGCAATGAACATCTGTAGAGTGGATTCCCTGGGCCTCAGGTCAGGGAGGAGGGAACTGCCAATGAATCAATGCTATTTGGCCATAGTCTCTAGTGATGTTACCTCTTAGGAGTTTTAATGTTTGAGTGAAAAATATCTACTTCAAGGCCTATGTGATGTCACTTTATAGAATGTGTAAAACAACTTGATCATCTGCATGAAGATTATCCCTATGGGTTTCTTGGTTTATTTTGTTTTTGGTACTGGGGATTGAACTCAGGACCTTTTGCTTAGTAAAGCAGGTGGCAGAACCAGTGAGCTAAATCCCTGGCCCTTTAGATGGGTGTTAATCCGAGAACATCCCTACTTGTATCATATCACTCGAGAACCACCTCCTCCTCCTCGTATGACCTGGTATGTGCTCAGAGAAGGTAGCTTAACTTGAATTTTAGCAAAAGCAAAACACAACCCATACAATCTTTATCTAGATACACACACACACACACACACATTAAAGTTTAACCGATTCAACTGAAAACCTAAATATATAAGAGCTGTGATTTATTGAATACTAGCAGCTGTATGCCACACTCTTTTGAATTCTTTACATGGATTATCTACTTTAGTCCTTAAAATAATCCTATGAGCTAATCACTGTTATTACCCACTTGCCTGAGGAAGAAACAGACACATAGAGAAGGGTGTCACACAGCTGATTTCAGTTGGAGCCTGGACTTGAAGCTAGGGATTTTATTCAGTTTTGCATTGATCTAGCCACTATGGGCACCCTTCCCAATGTGGTACATGTAGATACATGTGCCTGCTAATTTTTCAGTGGCTGTAAGAGAACTAGCAGATAAAGAAAGAAAATTTGAGAGTCAAGGGACATGAGAATCATATGGTTCAGAGTAATGTGGGAGTGAGGAAGTTATGAGTAGTCTATAATTTTTTTCTTTTTGGTACCAGGTATAAAACTCAGGACCTTGAGCTTGTGAGACAGGCAGTGGCACCACTGAGCTAAATCCCTAGCCCTGTCGTTTATTGGCAGTTGAAATGATAACAGATCTGCTGAAAGTAATAAGTTAAGGATACCATTCAATTCTTCAAGACAGTCTTACGAATTTTCTCTGTTCCTGGAGTTCCAAATCACTCTCAGCAGTTCATACCCATATATATTAAGCATCAAAAAATATTTTTAAGTATTTGCTACTGATGCTATGAATTCTCCCCTATGTAGGTTGAGAATCCCTTATCTGAAATACATACTTGAAACAAGAAATGTTTCAGATTTTGGATTTTGTTTTCTGATTTTAGAATATTTGTGTATGGGTAATGAGGTGTCCTGGGGAAGTGGATCCAAATCTAAACATGAAATTCATTTGTATTTCATGTACACCTTATACACACATAGCCCTAAAGTTATTTTAATGCTGTAGTTTAAGTGAGGGGCCAAGGATATAGCTCAGCAGTGCCGCACCTGCCTGGCAAGCACAAGGTCCTGAATTCAACCGCAGTACTGCAAAAATAAAATAAATAAATAAATGAGAAATAGTTTATGTGAGCCTGTATTTTAACTGCAAATTGTCACATGAAGCCAGGTGTGGAATTTTTAATTTTTAGCATCACAATGTTACTCAAAAAAGTTTCAGATTTTGAAGAACTTCAGATTTCAGATTTTTGGATTAAGAATGCTCAACTTGTATATTATATGTCCTGGATGTAGTATGAAATTGTTAATAATAGTTCCAAATAAATCAGTAGCCAACATCTCTCTTTAATGCTGACAAATTGAGTCCATAGATGAAATACACTCTTCCTGTTTATCTTTCACTATGAGATTTTCCTAATTGATGAAATATTTTTGTGCTTGAAGCCCCACAGAAGATACATAAAATATTGTTAGAGACGCTAATAAAAACTCCATTTTTCACACATAGTCAAACTAAAAATGAATATTCTTGGTCGCTTTCATAAATATATGACCTTGGCACAGATGAT